GTCACAGAGTTATTTCCCGCTTTCCATCTAATGTGATTTTCACTGCCACGTTTTCAGAAATTCAGAGGATAAATTCCTATTTAGATGAATTCTATAAATTACTGCCTAGGGCAATAATAGAATGACAGTATAGCTTCATCAATCGAATTTCTGCCTATTCAACAATTGCTTTCTAGGATCCCTGCCAGTTAACAAGGAGGGCATCTCCAGGTCACTCTTTGTCTATGATTGCTAAAACAGAAAGAATTATGGATTCTTTTCATGTCGACTTGGAATACACATGGAAATTGTAGTGCAAGACCTGAACCAGGTATCATATTAAGCTAATTCATTCTCAATTCTTAGCTCAGCACATAATTAGGAAGTGGTTCCAACCATTTTGGGGATGTCAGCTTCACCTCAGAAGTGTTATGGGTAGCTCTTGGCTGACCAAAATTGTCCACTTCAGCTCATGATTCCAGTTTATAATTCAAAGATTATTACAATAGTTTGCTGCCACTGGATTTTTATCCCTTTCCCAAAACAAATGCCTCAAAGGAATAACCATAGAAGGGGAGGAAAAATGATAAGAACACTGCTTCAGAAGTGTGCATGACTAAATCCTCCACTCTGTACTCTGTGGTTACTATCACAATTGCCTAATGATATAAAACTCTCTAAGAAAAGGAAAAAGTCTAAGGTCAGCAATTTTAAAAGCCTGTTCCAGCAGGCTCTTTCCTCCCATGTCTTTATTGTCAATTGCCCTGTTTTTGTTTTTGTTTTAAATAAAAAATAGCATTTTTTCTGCTTGGTTTTTAATCAATGATGTTGATTGTAAATCACCTTAGGTAAAAGGCAGAATATAAATAACTGTGGTGATTGTTCTTTATCTCATTCTTATCAGTGCTGAGATTGGTTGTTTATTTGATTGGTTTGCCTAAGTTTGTTTGATAAATGGATATCCAAGCAGAGTTTCGATCTGAGGATGTGCTGGCTCACAATTCATATTCTCTGAGCCGGCATAACGGAGGTGTTTGTCTCTTCCAGCTTTATGATTCACTTCTTTGTGAGAATACGCAGGAGAAAAATAAAAGTGGGTCAATTTCTCTGCAAACAAATCTTCCGCCTACCCAGCTATGCCTCTTCTCCCTGACCTTCAGTTCCCCATCAATAAGGTATGTGCAATGACATGTTCCTGCTAGGAGTGGCTGTAAATATGCTCTTGAGTCAAGGAGTGTCAAAGATCTTGGGCAAAAATAGAAAGCAGTCTCTGTGTACATGCTTGTGGATGCACTTATAGTAACTAGACATGTATTTAAAACTATATGCTGCTGTCATCTTTCAGAAAGCTCAGAAATCTCCCCCCCCCCCCAATTTCCAAGAATGAGGCAGATGTGCCCTGTGATCCAGGGACACACTCTGAAAAGAGTCTGCATAAACCCATGTTAAAAATAATGACCCAGACAGTCAGAAATGTATCAGCTATGGAAGACAATCTCCCATTGCAGAAATTTGATTACACAACCTCAAAAAGGACAAGGAATTGAAGTTATTCCTAAGAGATAGTGGCTAGCCTTATTCTAAGAGACAATTAGATTTAGTTCTGGCTTAGTATGTTGTATGGCCCATTTATTGTCATTTGTAAACTATGACTAATAGCAGAAAAATGGACAATGGAGCCCCAATGCTCTGGAAGCTACTTTAACCATGATTGCTAAAATCTCACAGCAGAATTATTTGCTATTTGGAGATGAGAGTCTCATAGAAATTAACTGATAACTCCTTTTATTTAAAAAAAAAACAAAAAACTCATACTCTCCATGAAGAAAGTGTACAAACCCTCAGTTGTTCCAAACATATTAAGCATGACTCTTGGTCATTGAAAAGTTGGCCTTTTCTGATTTATGGCTTTGTGCTTGGCATGCTGTACAAATGAGGTCAATGGTGCTGACAGAATAGTAATTTGGAAGATCAGATACTAACTTAAATAAGTCTCATTATTTGTTTTAAATTCCTTACCATTTCATCACTACAGCACATAGTGGCAACGCTTTAGAAGTTGACATGATTCCGATAGAAAATGCATTTTTCCATGAAGAAAATCCAAGCAAGTCTGGGGGAGGGACACATCCCTAAGTTATCTACCTGTACTCAAATTGTCTTTGTGTCACACAGGTTGCTTTCGGGAAGTGAGGGGTGGGTTCCGGCAGGCACTACTGCCGGTTTGTTCATGTGCACACTGTGCACGCACGCGCTTGATGCACACTCTGCGTGCATGTGCAGTGCAATTAAAATTGTTCTGTGCATGCGCAGAACTGAAAAACAAGATGGTGGTGCCAATGGTGCCGTCCGGAGAACCTGTTCAGGGGCATGGCAGGCCTTGGTCTTTGCCAGTTCCAGTGACCCAGACTGCCAAACCACTACCGGTAGGAGCCTACCACTGATCTGCAGGAATTTCTTCTGTTATTGTGGCATATGAAAAGTATTGAGACTCTCTAGTGTTGGATATATACCATTTGCCCCTCTCTGTGTGTCCATTTTAAACTGATTTTTGAAGTCTTTGCCAGGATCAGACACATACACACAATAACCAGTTACAGTCTTTCCATATTAGAGACTTTAAAACTAGTAAGCCCAAGTATAGTGAAAATATAAGGTTGTACATAGCTTTTGACTAAAATTTATCTTCATGAATTTGGCAATTTTAAGACCCATTTGAGTGTGGGGGAAACTAGCAAGAAAAAAACTGTTAGTGAAGGCAGCAATTAAATTACAAAAAGTTCTCATTATAGTATTTTTTGGTACAAAGTAAAATCCATCCTGCTTTTTCAGGATTTTAGTAACAAATTTTTGTTCTCCCTTGTGCTTAAGTTAGTAGTCTGTTATACTGATTTTTGCTTTGCCTCTGAAATTTTGTAAAAAAAAAAAAAAAGATATAAACTTCTCCCGCTTTTTGAATAAATCTATCTATGTCAGTGGTGAGTTGCTCCCAGTTTGGCCTGGATTGGGCGGACCGGTAGTAGTGGTGGCGGGAGGCTCTGCCCACCCACCCAGAGGCTCTGCCCATCCACCCAGATACTTCTGCGCATGCGCAAAAGTGTTGCGCACACATGGGAGCGCGCCCAAACTGATAGTAAAAAAAATTGGCAACCCACCACTGATCTATGTATATGCTTCTGACTCATACAAAATAAAATTGCACTTGGTGCAATCTCACATGAACTAACTTGCTTTTTAGGAATCACTTTTTTGCCGTGTTCCCCGTGGTAGACATGAACGATTATCTTTTTCATCTTTCACTGCTCCATTTTTCCGTAAGCAAAAATAAGTCTGCAATGCTTCCTTCAGTCTAGGCCAGAGAGTTAAATTTGGATTTATTGAACCAGTCTAGCATATGATTAAAAACAAGTTGATTCACAAAGTTTCCTGCTGTCAAAGAGACAAAAGACACATCTACAAATTCCTTCCCCCTTTTTTGGACATCAGTTCTCTAGAACCAGAGAGCATTTAGTATTTTTCCCAAAGAAAAATGTCTTTGGAGAAGCATTTTTCTTTCATGGGTTAATGTAACTGTGTTCCTACTGGAATCCTCTCATGGTGTCATCTGATTGATTCCAAAATAAATTCTTTTCCAGCTCTGCTATGCTGGTTGGGAATGGCAGATGTGCTAATTCAATACTTCTGGAAAACACTTGGTTTGAATAGATTAATTTGGCCATTTGTGTGAACTCATTAAGCCCCAAAGCTTAATTGATTGACTGAATTCTTTGCATAACTGAGGCCCCAACTAACAGCTCTAAATCAAATGGAATAGCATAGGGTAGAGTGCAGCTGCATTGCTAAATAATGAAGCTGTAAAGAACAACCACTTAATTTTATAAGAGGAGAATCATTACTTATATAAATAATATATAAAATATTGTAGATTTAGATGATGTAGAGGCATTATCCCTCTCTTTCGCTAATCAGTCAACTCTGAAAAGGAAGAATCATTCATTTCTCAGCAAATGTGAATTTCACTGCTACAGACACTACAGTCTTCTCACAATGTACTTTGTAACTACTACATAACAAGAAGAATTTCCAGGGGTATAACAGACAGAGTCCATAAATTCTATATCAAAGGACAAAATATTACAATTGAAAGAATCGAAGATCTAACTTTAAATGTACATTTATACCTAGAAGTATGGTGGCAGAATGTCCACAAAGTTTTCAAAATAGAAAACTCTAGTTGAAGATTTTGGTTGAGGATGTTGAAAATCTACAAAGCAACCTCATGCAAAGTGCCGAACTAAGTCATCTGAGATACTATTTATGAATAAACCATCCAGAGAGTACCATATCACGCGGCAAGTATCTGCCAGCCAGAATTTGGTCAGCAGTTTGTGTACCCGTATGTGTCCATACACACGTATATGAAGCTTACAGTTTTTTTTGTATACTGACAGTAGAGATGGAAGTAACAGAACAACTAAAAGTAAGGTTCTACATTTAGGAAAGAAGTGGTACCTTGCTCAATAGTAGTAACTGTGAGAGGGATCTTGGAATCCTATTAGACAACCATTTAAATATGAGCCAGCAGTATGCAGCAGCTGCCAAAAAAGCCAACATAGTTCCAGGCTGCATAAACAGAGGCATAGAATCA